CATTTTTAATTTCTCTCTCAGCCTGTCGCCTTGGATAAGAAGAACTGGGTTCTGTGCAAAACCACAGGAAAAGCTTTCTTTAGAACCCTGGAATTCACGAGGTCCCCATGCTCTTTCTAGGCACGTAGGTTCTTTAAAGCAGTGCCAGGAAAACTATAACCCAATTTTAGCCCAAGAATATGGGGAGGGGGGAAAGAGAGGGAAGGGGAGGCAGGAGGATGGGTGGAGGGAGGGTGATTGGTGGGATCACGCCTATGATTTAGCCTACAAGGGTACATGTGAATCTTACTGAATGTGGAATATAAATGTCTTAACACAACAACTAAGAAAATGACATGAAAGCTATGTTGACCAGTTGGATGCAAGTATTCCAAATTGTATATAGTAACAACTCACTGTACCCTATGACAGTATTAATGTACACAGCTATGACTTAATAAAACAATTTTAAAAAAGCAGTGCCAAAAGCAGCACTTAGTGGGAACGTAGTGATCACATAGTAGGTGCTTAACAAATATCAGATATACAAAAATGGCATCAGCTCTTGAAAATACCCTTTGCTTTATAATGTCAGATGAAATGGTCAGAGTCTTAAACACTTGTTAGTGGATTTGACCAGAGAGCCTAAATTTTAGTGATCCTTTGATTAACTTTGTTCACAAAGCACGAGAGCCAGCTGACAGGGTGAGGTGGGGGAATGACAGAAGAGAACTTGGTTAGGGCAACGCAAAAGCTTTGGACAGGTAGGCAGGGTCTCGGGCTTGCTCTAAAGAAGTAACGACGCATCTGAGAAGACAAAGCAGGTAAAATAATAATAATTAAAAAAAAACACAATGGAGCTCACGGGCGAGAAGAAGAGAGAATATGTGTTTCTTCAAGGATCCCCTGGGGAACCCATTTGAACAGCAAATTCATCAACAGTATGATTGAAACAGAAAGGGGAGGGAGACAAGAGACCGAGGCCTGGGCCACAGCCACGTGCTACCCTCGCAGGACAGCCAGAAACAGACCCCACCACTCGCTTGCCGTGTGAGCTTGGCTTTGATCTACCGGGTGAAAAACAGGGTAATTCTGTTGCCTCCCTCTGCCAGGCACTGTGAGGGTTCAATGCCATAACGCACGTGGCATGCCAGGGGGTGAAGGGTGAGCAATATGTATTTGTGATTATTTTTCACCATATAAATGACGAAAAGCTCAGTGACATGGTGGCTTGTTGGATGTTCCCCGGTCTGGGGAATGCTTCACAGCCTGACTCTTGTTCTGGAAAATTCTATGTTCATCCTTGGGACTGCACACAGGTCAGCACTGACTGCTCTTAACTGGAAGAGTGTGTGCACAGGCTGGAGTGCTGTGTGGGGACAGCCCTCTCCACCCTCACCCCTGGAGCTGTGTGAGCCATTTGGCTGTTGTCACTGTGGCCAGGCAGCAGAGGTAAGGTGGCCAGGCCTTCTTCTCCACCCCCACTTGGTTCCCCATTGTCAGCCTGCTCCCAGGCTCCATCTGCCCTTGTGCCCCGCTGTGGCTGCCCAGCACTGGCCTTCTGTGCCCCTTTTTGTTCAGCGCTTCTTTGGTGCTGGGACTCACCCCAGTTTAAAAGCTCCTGACCTGTTCTCAGTAGCTTGAGAACACAGCGGTCAAAGCGGGGCCAGGCTCTATGGGGGAAATCAAGAGGGTGGTTTCTTTCCTTCAGACAGAGGAAGGAAAAAAGCCCTTGAACCAATCTGAATTGAAAGTCCAGAAATCATGGCCGCCCCGAGGAAAACAAGAGTAACAATGCTGGCCAGGAGGACGGCCGCTGTGGGAATGCGGTTGGCCGTGCACATGTGGTGTCTGAGTGGGACCAAGACCTTCCAGAGAGGGGAGAAAATCCTTTTTGGCTGACTCTGCCTGACTCTGCGTTTCCTACAATTCTACAACAAAGATCCAGGAACACGAGAAAAGGAAGCTGAGAAAATGTGTCCTGTGATCCAAATTTAAGCCAAGAACAGGACAGGGGATGTGAGCCAAGGAGAAATGAGGCCAGGAGAGCTTTCTCGGGCCCCAGCTTTTCTCTTTTCTTCTTCTTTTTTTTTTAAATGCCCAAACCTGTTTAACTGCTTAGTGTGAACTCCAGTTCTGGGATACGGTTCACTACGGAAAAGGAAATTTAATTAGCCCTGATGACCTTACCTTCATTCTTAGGCCAGCGTAGTCAAATGGCACATTAATTGCGATTCTACCACCAATTGATTCCTGAAAGAAGAGAGAGGGAGAGAGAGAGAGAGAGAGAGACGGAGACAGAAAGCCGGTGGGCAGGCGAAGTAAGTGACATTGCTTTAATTAAGAATTACACTGAGAGAAGGCACCGTGTCAGCTGCAGAAAGCAGCAAACCCTTCTGATTGCCCGGCCTGATGAATTTATGCACGCACTGACTACTTAGACCCACGCTCTCGACATCAGTCTACAGTAACGTAAGTGATCAAATTTCTACCATTAGGACTTGAAAGATAGTAATTAATGGCAACCTGCATTCCTATGTTGCTGTTTGCAAAGCAGTTGCATAATCACCATTACTGTGCTGTGAGGGAAGTGTTCCTGTCCCCATTTTAGAAGTGAGGACACAAAGTTACAAGTGTCGGAGCCAGAACCTGATGCCAAGTCCCATGACCTTTCTGCTGTACTGGGCTCCACCCTGGGAAGACGGTGACCTGCAAACACTGCTTTCCTCCCAGCCGAGGGGAAGACTGAGGCGTGAGCTGGAGTTACTACTTGATGGAATGGCACAGTGGAGACCCCCAGCTCCTAGAACGCCTCAGAGTTAATATTCACCCAAATCAATGCTATTGTCTAAGACAAAAGAAGACCTCTAGAAAAGAGGAGTGGAGAAATGACCTTGTAGTTATCATGAAAAAGGCTGTAAGTCAAGACTGCGTAACCCCTAGAGGGAATTGGGAGGACTGAGCTGTAATTTTTGTCTCATAATGTGCTAATATGATTATCTCATATTAACTGTTGTGTTTGTCCTACAAATAATGTCATTCCAGGGCTCCTGCAGACCAGGAGTCAAGCTCCAGGCCCTTCGAAAACAATCCTGGGCAGGGTCTGAGTAATCTGGTAGATCTGAATCAGGAGAAAAAGGGAAGTCTCGGTTTGGAATCGGAGACCACGTGATGCCAACTTTTCTAAGGCCTGGACAGGAGGGAAGTGCGGGCAGAACCGGGACCCAGCTGGAACGGCTGGCTGCTTCTCTCCTGCCTGCTCTGCTCTGACCTGCTTGGCACGCCCTTCTGGGCCCACCTTCTGTTTCAAAAATTGCCTGAGTGGTTGACAGTTGGCTGGACTGGGAACCAGAACCCCAGACTCCACAGGAAGGGCGCCTCCGCGCAGGCGTCGGGTCTCAGGCACAGGAAAGGCACGTTCTGCTCTCAGGTTCTTCTCTAGCCTGAGCAAAGTCGGCGAGGTCGGAATCCCAAGGGACACGCGCAGGGTGTATATGTTTTTCCCCTTCCAAGTTCTTCTGTTGCGTTTCATCGTTTTTCCTACCTAGATATTAGGCTGTCTCCATGATGCGAAACATCCTTCCTTCTAGAGTTTCCAGGAAGCACAGTTGCCTCCCACATGTTAGATTTAATGTAATTCAAACCAAAGTTTGAGGCCATTTCTCCTAATTCAGGAAAAGTTGTGAGCTTGGCAACCCAAATGGAAAAAGGGGAAAAAAAAATGGTAGTGGATTTTGGGGGTGTTTTTCTCATTTGGGTTGTGTGTGTGTTTCATAAAGCGTATAGGAGAAGTAAGCTCAAAAAACAACTACTTGGAGAGATAGAGACTCTTGTAATTCATGTTGTGCATAATGGATTTGGCAGGCCCAAGCACAGAAATTTCCAGAAGTGTTTGCGTGGCAGCAGTTCTTAGCCAATTCACATTTTTTAGCTGTCCTGGCCAGCTTCCCAGCCTGCAGAAAAAGTCTTGTATCTCCGCAAGTTTGGCTGGCCTCACTGACGAGTTTCCAAACTGCATGGCAACATTGGATGAGCTTATTTTCAAGTGCCAAAAAGACTCCTGCTACTTACATTGTTACTAAATACCAGATGTGCGGAGCCAAACCTAGGGTAATCAAATAACCTATCATTAACATTTTCTAAAAACAAAAAATGCAATTGGAACACCAGATTACTGCTTTTCTTTGTTTGCTTTACGCCCTATTACTGGAACCCCTAGGGTGATACGAACAGGACACAGGCGGGGAGGCCGGCTCTGAAGACGCTGTTTACAATCACACCCCTGCACATCTGAAGTACGTGTGAGAAAGTCAAGGCCTGCACAGATTTCCTCTGAGCCCTCAAGAGGACTCGCTCCCCTCCTGCCCTCGAGGGAGGGACTCTGCAGGCGGGGGCTCCCACCAGTCTGGAAAGCACTGAGGTGCACTGAAACTTGACCTTGAGGGAGAGAAACGCAGCAGACAGGAGGGTAGCTCTGGGGACTTGGTAAATTCGAGAATAGGCAAGAGTTGGAAACTGCTGCTGCTGTTGGAAAAAATGCTTAAGAGATTCTGAAAAGCCGGGAGAGGACAGAGGATGCCTGGCGGCTTTGTCAGAGGCCCTGGCTTGGGCTTCGGTTGGTAGATCTTGAAATATTTCTCAATACGCAAATCTCCAATTCCATTTATTCTCCTCTCATTGCTTTTATTTACGTATTTATTTGGTAAACGTCCTGGAAATCCAATGGGGGGGAAAATGTAGCTGGCAGATTCTCTCCCCTTGCTCCCTTCAAGGTCCTTTCTGCTGTTTTGGGGACCCCACCAGCCCACCCATTGCCCAAGAATTTGCTTCTCCAAAATCCCCATATTTCTCCACCTTCTTTTCCTCTCTTCTAAACTCACAGCCCTGAAGAGGTGAAAACAATGTCTTTCTTTCCCCAGGGCTTGTGGGTGCCCCTGGTAGACGGTGAGCGTGTGTGTCAGAGGTGTGAGGGAGAAGGGTCGGATCACTGCAGAATGAAATGTTATAGATGGAGGTGGAGAGTTTGCTTCGGCGGCGCACATACTAAAACTGGAACAATACAGAGAAGATTGGCACGACCCCTGCACAAGATAGAGATGGAGACGGTAGAGTTAGCAACTCTTCTGAAACTATTTACTATCTGCTTTAAGACAACGACGTAAATAAAGGAGTGAGCGGCTCAACCCTTGGAGAGTTGTTTTAAGAAGGCTGTGACTAAAAATGTGTTATAACCCAACTGTGCCTGCACTGCCATGGTGCCACGCCGGGCGCAGAGCAAGCAGACTCATGCTGTTTTCTAATGTGTGGAGCCATTGGGGAGCTAAACCACGAGCTTGGTGTAACTAGCAGTGAAATGCTCTGAAATGGTTTGATTTAAGCAGATGCAAATGATAAATAACAGGGAGCTGATGCTCCCACACCTTGTGAACCGTCCTCCTACCCACAGTCGCGTGGGTTTCACGCTTCTGATGCGTTCCCGAGAAGTCCGGTGTGAAGCCACGTGCAAAGCAGAGTTATGTTTTCAACATTCTAGAGACACTTGTGACACAGAGGAAGGGATCAACCCGGGATAGTCAGTACCACCCCCAATTCCTCTCTGTTCGGTTTGGACACCCCACCCTCCGCCTGCAATCCCTGGCCCAGGCCCAGCATCAGAGTAGGTTCTCGTCTGCCGCCCCTCACTTTCACTGCTGGGCCATTTAGAGGAAAGGGCTGGTTCCCAGAAGGGTCAAGGCAGGGCTGTTTTGTTCTCCAGCGGCGAAGCAGAGTGTGCTGGAGGAAACCACCCAAGCAACGAGCCCTACAGAGGGCAACTGAAGCCTGAGTCTAAAAACAAAAGTGGAGGAGCCCATCTCCTTGGAGCTGTTTATATTACATAACTCAAATAAACACCGCGGCTCAGGAACAGCTCCCTTGGCAAGGCCAGGACCACACGAGGCAGACGAAGGGCGTCTCCTTCAGCCTCCCTGGTCAGAGACGGCTTTTGTAAGACAACAACAATAATAATACGTGGTGATTCAAGGACAGTCGAGCAGGATATCCCGAGTAAATTAAAGTGGAGTGATTCTAATTAGGAGTTATAAGGTCCCTTAGTTTTCTCTAGCTAAGGAAATAAATTCTAATCAGAGTGCCCCAAAAGAAGTGGCGTTGACACCAAATGGCTATTCTCATTTGCAAAGTGCGGGGATGAGGCCTTTGGGGGGATTTTCTTGGCACTTGGCGCAGTGGTGCAAGCAGGCTGGAGTGCAGTGGTCACTTTCTGTGACTGCAGCCCCTTCTCAGCCCAGGGCCATGCAGGACCCTCAAGCTGTTTACATGGGGCCTATGTGAAGAATTGAAAAACAAACAAAAAAATCACCACTTGGTAAATAAGCACAGGCCCCGGGGCCAAAGTCTGCACAAAGAGTCTAGACAGGGACAGCAGAGAATGGACTGAAGCCTCCTTTTTGGTCAGGACCCTGCAGTCTCTGGGGACAGCAACCCCTATCCTACAATAGGGGACAAGAATAAAAATAAAAATTGAGAACACAACCCTTAGCATGGGCTGATGGTACTGGGTGCCAACAGTTGCCCCAGTTGTATACAATTCCTAGATGAAAACATGCTCCAGAATCCCTCTGCCCCCTGGGTCTTTGCTAGATGCCCACGGGGCTGAGGATGGAAGACAACCGTGGCTAAGGGTGATGCTTCACTACCAAGGGCTCTAATCCTTCTTACTCCGTGGATGTGTCACTGAAGACATTTGTCTTTGGGGCTCCTTATTCTCAAAAGGAAAACAACTCTGGCCCCTGAGAATGTTAAGAGTAAAATAGCTAACAAAAGTTACTTCAAAGTACTTGGCCAATCAAGTTCAGGATCAAGTGCTAAATGATTCCCTCCCTCCCTAACGCATCACCTATGCACCCCCCTTTAAAATGCTTTGCTGACAGACTGCCCTGCCAGGTGTGGAGCTGGTCTGTACAGAGGAGGTCTCAAGCTCCTCCAGAGAAGTTTGCTTTGCAGGAACCACTGAAATCCTTACATGTCCAGACGCATGTGCTAGGCAGAAAACAACAGGTGCTGAGCTGCAAGGCTGAAGGTTGCCAGGATCCATGCCTGGGCACCCAGGGTTTGGCATCCCTTCTCCAGGGGGAAAGGAAAGTGAACCAATCAACATGGCAGGGGGAGGTCAACTTCAAGTCTGCCTCAGTGAAACCCTGGGGACTTCCTTTTTAAAAACAACTGAGACACAGTGTGACAGCTGTTAAAGGATGCCAAAGAAAAGGGTCTCAGGGGAAACTTCCCCAAGGACTGCTCTGCTTACAAGAGTCTGCTCTGAGTGACACAAGAGAAAGGCAGCAGGAACCGGGCAAGCCAAGCCCAGGTGAA